TTTAATTTCAATAATTTTTATTTAGTAGTTTAACCAATATTCAAATGACATGTGTGCATATACTAGATGAACCGTTTCCGTTTGATGAAACGTCTCTGTTTTTCTTTTCTCATTTTACTTTCTGTTTATTATTTGTTTATTCAAAGGTATCAAATTTAGATATCCCGATAAACATGCTCTCACCACATTGAGATAAGTGATCGTGAATTCCGCCTCATTGAAGTCTCAATACCGATCCTCACTGAAGAATGGTTTCTTTTAACTAAAGGTTTCTTTTGCTTTCATTTATATGACTGATTATTGGATTTTTTGTTTGTTTTGTCGTGTAGAAGCACTCACTTAGAAGATCTTAAACGATGAAACCAATCCCCAAGGCGATCAAATCATATCATCAAACGCTAAGAAGATGTATTATTGGTGAACAAACCGACCTTGTGAATCTGCAGTGCAACAAGATCTATCTAACATTTTGGACCCTTTTTCCGATTTAAAAAAAAATTCAAATTTGTATGTTTTTCTTTTGTTTCTAGGGTTAAAAGTGTCCATCTTTTTTTTTGTCTTTTTAAAAAGGTTTGAAATGCCCAAATTATTTATTTATTTTCAATATATAAACTAGATAAATTACTTTTTTTTTTCATTAGTCCACAACAAAAAAACTCCTCTTTTGCTTTTGGCTTTGGACCCTATATATTTTTACATGTTGACTCCGGTCTAGTTATAATATGTGATTGGTGTTAAAAAAAAAAAAGAGGCCCAAATCATTTATTTATTTTTAATATATAAATTAGATAAATTACTTTTTTTTTCATTAGTCCACAACAAAAAAACTCCTCTTTTGCTCTTGGCTTTGGACCCTATATATTTTTACATGTTGACTCCGATCTGGTTATAATATGTGATTGGTGTTAAAAAAAAAAGTGATTTAGGATGAAATCATTTGCGATAGATCATATATGTATAGACAAGAATGATTATGATTGGAATCGCTTGATGTGATTAACAGAAATCGATTGCATACGAACAACAATGATCATCTTACTAAACAATTGTTAGTCTTTTGTCCTTCTTGTAGTGCAGGACATCTTACTAAAGAATATGACGTTAGTGGCTTGGTTGAAGCTCACGGTGAGGAGTCTGTGTATGTGAGATTATAAAATATTACGACGTGTCAAGGTTTGTTATAAGCTTTCAGATTTAGATTTTTTTTTTTTTTTTGCTTATATACTCCTTTTATTTTATATGAAAGTCTTTCTTCATGCTAAAGTAATGTTACGTTTCTGAAAAACATAAATGACACAAAAACAAATATTAAATGATAGTGGTCTTGAAATGGTTTAGTTAGAGGAAGCCGACGGCCTAGAAGTAGAGGAGTTGTAAGCAAAGTTGTCTGTGTTAGAGCTAGGAGATAGATCATCTCATTCCGCAATTAAGGGAAGACGAGTTCCAAGCCTCGTCCATAATGTGATCGGAATCCTCGAGCTGTGGAGAATTCAGAGACTTTTTCATAGGTAATCTTAGTTGGGACTCTTGCCATGCCCATTATTGTTGGGTTAAAAGTTTTAAAATCCAAAATTACTAAGTTCAAGTGCAAGCAACGAGTAGTAATTAGGATATCGATCCTTAAGAAGTTAGAATAACACACTAAAAATGCAAGCAATTGATTAATCTAAGCTAAACGATGTTTTTGGTTTTTTTTAAAGTCCTAACGATGCAACTAAGTGAAACAATCAAATGAGAATGCAAAATGAAGATAAAAAGAACTACAATGCTAAAAAGAAACTAAACAAGACCTAAGCAAAATATGATTAAGCATAAACAATACCAAATACAAAAGTCAACCATAAAATCAACAACTAGAAACTTGATCAAATATGGGAAAGCATGGGCTTTGGGCAAAGAATTGACTTGAGATGCTTAATGACTAACTAATGATGCTATGACTAACAATTCAAACTCAATTTCATGGCATGAATC